GGGAGGAGGGGCTGCAGGGGAGGAGGGGAAAACAAGCCCAAAGCCTCCTCCTCTTGTGGTTCTAGAACTCGTGCGAGAAGCCAGATAGACCAGAACGGGTCACCAATACCTCAACTTGATCTATTTCCCTTTTTTATTGTTGCTTTTCATATCCAGTTAACAGAGGGATGAAGGACAGGGCTGAGGGAGGTATCAGCGGCGTCCGCTGGGTCTCCGGTGGCAGAGCAATGGCCGTGAAGACGGTGAAATGCCTCTCGTGGCACTGCGGTGGTGCCTCTCTGAACACTGTATCACCCAGTTCCTCCTCTAGGCCCTACAGGTATTATACCCATTTCGCAGATGAGTAAACTGAGACCCAGAGAAATTAAATGACTTGCCTGAGAATTCATGGTTCGTTCATGGCAAAGGCAGTACTAGAGTTCAGGGCTTCCTTCTATCCTGTGTTCTCTCCATTAAACCATAAACCGGTAATAATTATCCTCTAAGTGCTCCTCTAAGGCACAGAACTTATGCAAAATATGTTGGACGGCAAGGTATCTACAGGACTACAGAAGGCGCTATGTGTGAGGCTTCCTCCGTCCTGAGTACACTCCCTCGCCCTCCCCAGCACAGGCTGGCTCTCTGAGAGAATGTCCCCTGAACACCACCCTGGCCCCCACTCCTCAGCTTACTCGGGGAGCCCCCGGCATACACGCTATTGCGACTGCACTTTCCCAAAGCCCACTTGTCAACAGCCTTGAACGTCTGACATCAGAGAACACTTCCGCCCAGTCTGTGTCCGTCCCCTCCACCCTCGGTCCCCTGTGCCCAGGGTGCCTATCACGGTGGCAGGAAGGGCTGCTGCTGGCATGAAGGCTGGCACGTGTCAAACAGCACACACGCACACGCACGTGCACACACGCGAACACAGGCGTGCAGCCCAGGCCGCGCGCCTGCATTTCCCCACGTGAAGGGGACAGTGAGCTGGGGAAGGAGGCCAAGGGCAGGGAGCAACTAGGATGAACTTCCCTCGGGTGGGGGTGAGAAAAATGAAACCAAACGGGAGTGAGCAGAGAAGAGGGTCCCCCCTAGGACGGAGTAAGCAGCGGCAGCATGGGGGAAGCAGGGAGAAATGGCCTTCAAAATAATCGTCAAGAAAAAATGGAAATGGGGGGGGGGAGACCAAAGAAAGCCAGTAACATCTGCCTTTTGAAACATGCAGGCAGCCGGGCACCGGCTGGGGAAACGGTGACACAGCATAGATGGTAACGGGACAGGAGCCAGTCTGCACGAAGTCCCACAGCTGGCACTGCCAGGGCAATGGTGGCGGTGGACAGGCACAGCCCCGCAGGCTGGCGCAGTCCTAGCGGGGTCGGGGCCTGGGTGTGCGTAAGCAGGGACACCGCAGCAAACTAGACCGCACCCCGAAGGGCACAGATGTTGGGGTGACAGGATAGGGGGAAGGAGATGGCTTCCTACAGCTGCAGGTTCTTTTCCTTGTCTAACCTAAAGGAGCCACAACAGACAGCACGTGCTCGACTGGCAAGTGCACTTGATGACCTGCCCCTGCCCACGGGGCAGGCCTTCCCCTTACCCCCCTCCCTCCCACTAAGTTTAGCCATTGGCTTCTGGCTGCTTGTTTCTTCAAGGAGTGCAGTATGGCAGAGACAGCTCTGGGAGAGTAAATCCTTTCTCTTTAACGTCACGTCCTAAGTGAGCAAATGTTTGGGAAGGTCCCGGAAGAAGGAAGGAATAAAGAATTTGTTATGTCCGACCACAGCAGTACTCACGTCTGCAAAGACTAGAACACAGGCCCAACGGGCCCGGTGTGCGAACAGGGTGAGAGACGCATAACTCATGCCCTTCGCGTGTCACAGCTGTCACTCCTTCAGAGAGGGCGAGGTGACGGGGCCGTGGCCCAGGCCGACTCCGCCCACGTAGAATTGGGTACCTTTTTGCACTGCACACACTGCAGGGCGTGTTGCTTCTCGTAGCAGGGCACACAGAAGTTCTGCTCGTCCTTGGGGATGAAGCTCTTGGTGCCGATGGGCTGCTGACAGCGATGGCAGATGAAGCAGGTCTCATGCCAGCTGCTGCCCTTGTACTCCATCTTGCGGGTACCTGTGGTGACAGTCAAGAACAGAGCATGTGGTGACGTGACCGGCTGGGGGTCCCAGCCGTCTGCCCTGAGAACCTGCTCCCCTCTCATCTTGTGACCACAGCGAGTGGCTTCTGCCCTCAAAGGCTTGCCTCTAAATGGGGGTAATTTCTGTGTGGCAGGGAGGTGGCCCCTTGCTGTACACCCAGCTCCTGGAACAACAGCTGTATGCACTCAGTATGTTTGTGCACACGTGACATGAAATAACATTCTTGTCTCTCCCGGCATCACGAAGTACGAAGAGAAATCTGCACAGTGCAGACTAACCCTATGGAACGTGAATTCTGGAGCAGAGGGTATTTCTCCGTTGCTTTTTCAGAGGGAGTGGAAGCGAAAGAGAGAAACATCGATGTGAGAGACACATCAACTGGTTGCCTCCCGCACGCGCACTGGCCAGGGCTGGGGATTGAGCCTGCAACTGAGGTATAAGCCCTTGGCTGCAATCGAACCTGGAACCCTTCAGTCCGTGGGCCGACACTCTAACCACTGAGCCACACCAGCCAGGGCAACCACTTACTCTTTTAACCTCTGACCTTCCCTCTGATCAAGCAGCCTAGGATGTCAATGAATACAGGGATCCCAAGCAAGACCATGTAACTTCGTTCTTGGTGTCTTCTGAGCTAAGTCTCATATCAACACCAGTGCTTGGGAAAGGGTCCTGTCCCTAGCAGGGGATCCAG